TCAGCATTCTGTTTTCACTATTAGGTATTGCGTGCTTGTGATATGTTTTTTTTCACGGTTGTGACGGCAGCCACGTTTTTTCTAATATTACTAGTATTAAAAAGCTGACCAGTACATTTTATTAAAATTCTTGAAGTTATATCAGGAAAATGGTCAAGTCCACAAACTTACTGGAGATTTTATCAAATTATTTTGAAGAAAATGCAGTTGTAAAGAAGTGATGAATTCTAAATTTGTTAAAGATCTGCCGCGAGGCTTCCTTCCTGTTAAGTACGTATGCGATCTTCATCTCTAGCCCCACATGCCGTTATTCACTCCACGCTGCCTGAGCAGTAATTCTCTGGAGGGGAAAAAAAAACTCCAAATCGAGCTGCTTTTTTAAGAAAAAAATTCGATATTGATGACTGCCTACAGCGTACATAACCTCCACGCGTTGCTACCGCTGACTTTCAAATTATTGAACAAGCGTGACCGGGCGTTGTGGATTCTGGTCACATTAGAACAGTGTTGTCCAATAGAAAACGTTGACTAGCCATAGGTGGGGCCGCAGTGACGCCATTTTCGTAACTTGCACTAATTTTAGAAAACGTCTTGCACTTTACGTAAATAACCTTCATTTTAATATTTGTTCAACAAATTCCTACCACTTTCCTGTATGAAACTTTGCAGTCTTTTACACAAAGGTTTGAAATTCTACCATAGAGTTACACAGTGCAGCTTAAAAGCGTCTAGCTTTTTTGTTATACGAGCAGTTTCCATGTTAACGCTTGGTGGGTGTGGAAAATCCCATGACATCTGAAAAAGAGCCAGGGATATATCCTCGGCGACCTGGCCAATATTTGTCTGTCAACCAACATTACTAAAACAAATGGTCATTATATAGTTTGTGGGGTTTGCAGTAATTGGCTGCCACATTTCCAACAGTGACTGCATTTACAAATACCTTGTAACTTGGGTATCCTTAAGTTCTAAAAGACAATATATAAATGAAAGTATTTTATTTCCTCTGGATCTATAATGACAAATTCCAGGTAAGGATACTTGGGGCCAGCAGTTGGTTTATTATCAGGGCTCAGATTTTGCAGAATTGTGCTCTTCAGTAATCATATCGAGACTTTTGGTTGAGTAAGGGGAGCAGGAAAGGTTCCACACACATTTCCTATAATTGTGCCCAACAGAAGTCATCCCTGACACACTTCTCTCCAGATATATAAGGAACAGTTAAAGAGATGTTCAAGCACTTGGTCAGCATATAGAACACTGGTGGCAAAATGGATCCTGAGCTGAAAAGTATATAATCTGAAAAAAATTTATGATTCACTGTGTCGAACACTACCTTCTGATTCAGGGAATTAAAAGCAGTCAACAAACCAGACCTCAAAAGGTCAATCAGATCAAAGTAGACGAAATTTAATGCAGATAAGGGTCAACTGATAGATCTTGGTAGAGAAAATGAGGAGAAGCAATATAAAGGATACAATATTAAAATGGGTGCAGAAACAGAGAGACTTGGGGATATACAGTATGTGCTTAAATTGTTAAAGATGCAAGACAGGGTACCAAACTATTCCAACCCTAAATGTATCTAACAATGGAGCATCCACACCCTTCTGGAGTGGAGAGTTCCATAGAATCAGAACCCTTTGAAGTAGTTTCTTCTCAGTCTGAAATAATTGGCTGTGTATCTTAAGAATATAACCTGTATCTTTGCTTTGTCTGGTCAGAGTATAAATCTTGTAGCATCTGACCAATTACACCCTTTCTGAACCTTATACACCTCAATGAGATTGCTTCTCATTTTTCTAAACTCCAGTAAATATAGACCCACTTAATTCAACCTCTCATATGTCTACCTTGCATCCAAGAGCCAAATTTACCGAACCTTTACCATCTCTGATGCAAACATATCTTTTTGCAAATTTGGAGATCAAATCTGTCCACAGAACTCCAGAGATGTAGTCTCACCAAATCTGTACGACTTCTTTATCCCTGTATTCCAAACCACTGCAATAAAGGGCAACATGTTATGTATCTTGCTATGATTTTTTGGGAAACAAATGGTAAAAATGTAATGGGTTTGTTGTCATTTGAAAAGAGGAGAGGAAATAAATACAATAGCAATTGCTGGAGGGAAAAAGTACTAGGGAAAACAATGAGGTTAAGGACTGGTAAGTCCCCTGGACCTGATGGGATGCATCCTAGGATATTCTGATGTAACAGTAGAGCATTTAGAGATTACATAATATGATCAAGCAAAGTCAGCATAGCTTAACGAAGGGGAAATCATGCTTGACAAATTTACTAGAATTATTTGAGAAGGTAACAAACGGGACAGATAAAGGGGAAGTAATGTATGTAACACAGTATATTTGGATTTTCCGGTGTTTTTGATAAAGTACCACACGTGAGGCTAATCAATAAGATAAGATCATGGTGTTAGAAGCAGTATTCTAGCATGGATAGAGCATCTGCTAACTAATAGAAAACAGAGTTGGGAGAAGGGGGACATTTTCAGGATGGCAACCAGTAACTATTGGTGTGCCACAGGGATCAGTGCTGGGTCACAATTATTTACAATATATATTGATAACTTAGATGAGGAAAGTGAATGTAATATTGCCACATTTGCAGATGACACAAATGTGGGTGGGAAGGCATGTGGTGAAAATGTCACAATCTGCAGAGGGATATAGGCAGGATAAGCAAGTGGACAAATAACTTGGCAGATGGAATATAATGTGGGGAATTGTGATGTTGTGCGTTTTAGCAGGAAGAATAGAGGAGCTGAACACTATTTAAAGGGAGAACGATTGCAGAAAACTACAGAAGAGGGTTTTGTGAATCCTCATTCATGAGTCACAAAAAGCTAGTATCCAAGTTCAGCAGGAAATAGGGAAGGCAGTTGGAATGTTGACCTTTATTTCAAAGGGAATGGAGTATAAAAGTTGGGAGGTTTTGCTAGAACTATACAAGGCACTAGTCAGACCACAACTAGAAAAGTGAAGTTTTGAGTCCCTTATCTAAGGAAAGATAGACTGGCATTGGAGGCAGTCCAGAGAAGGTTTACGAGGTTGACTGCAGGTATGGTAGGACTATCTTATGAGGAGAGGTTGAGTAGGTTGGGCCTGTACTCTTTGGAGTTTAGTGGAACGAGAGGTGACCTTATTGAAACATATAAGATTCTTAGGGGACTTGACAGGGTAGATGTAGAAAGTGGGAGAATCCAGGATCAGACAGCATAATCTCAGAATAAGGTGTCACGCATTTAAGACACAGATGGAGGGGAATTTCTTTTCCGAAGGTAGTAAATCTGTGGAATTCTTTACCGTAGAGGGCTGTCAAGGCTGGGTCACTAAGTATATTCAAGGCTGAGACAGACTGCTTTTTAATTAGTAAGGGGAAATCAAGGATTATAGGGAAAAGACAGGAAAGTGGAGTTGAGGATTTATCAAATCAGCCATGATTTCATTGAAAAGTGGAACAGTCTCAATGGGATGATTGGTCTACTTCTGCTCCAACATTTTATGCTTTTATGGAAGGAGAACAAAACAGACAGTCTTGTTTTGGATAGAGGGTGAGAGAACCTAAATGACAAATATAAAAACCAAAAGAACTGCAGATGCTGTAAATCAGAAACAAAAGCAGTTGCTGGAAAAGCTCAGTAGGTCTGGTAATATCTGTGAAGAGAAATCAGAGTCAACGTTTTGGGACTGGTGCCCCTTCCTCAGAACTTTTTCGCAAATTCTGTTTTTGTTGTAAATGACAAACATGTCATGGAACAAAAGACAGAAGGAGTCGTAATGGTTGTAGAAAAGTAACAAAGAATTTGTCTGGAGGGTGAATGGCAGAATAGTGAACAGGCCTGTCTGAAGGCGAAAACACAAAAAACAAGATTCAAACGAACATGTCAAAAAAATAGAATTAAAGTGGACACAGTTCATGATCTGTTTAATTGTTTAACTATGTTTAGTCCAGGAGAGTACAAAGTGCCCAATCAGAACATGAAGTGCTCTTCCTTAAACTTGTGTTAGGCTTGACTGGAATGCAGCAGTG